CTAGGAGAGGACAAAGTCGAATTTCGGGGGGTTTTGACTTTTTTTCTGGGGTTATTTAATGGCATTTTAGATTCTGCGGTGATAGGTGGTATGGTTTTATTATTTATTTGGTTACAGTCTAGTGGCCTTTCGGCTGGTGTTGCACTCTGATGGGATATTTCTGTGTGTTTTGAGAGGGGTGATGCGGTGGGGTCTACTGTATCTTTCACAGGGTTGGGAATAATGGCTGCTTGCAATGTCCTATTACCTATTTCACAATTAGTCTTAGCAAGATAGTTGTATGCGCGCCTTTCTATGACTGTTTTGTCCACCCCGACCTTTATATGTTTGTAGTTTCTGGCTTGCGATAGGGTGTGTTGGGAGTGAATGAATTTTCTGGTCTCTGCCGGTGTTTCGAACTGAAAACGAATAGGACAACACTTCTCATGTTGACTCTTCTTCAGCCTATAGCACTTAGTCTTGGAGTTAGGCATTTTCGCTTCACTAAGTAAGATGCGCTGTACCTTTTTTAGTGCCTCATTGTCCGGAACGTTGTAGACAATAGCACTCAGTTTTGCGTCGAGTCGTTTTGTTACTTCTGTGGTAACAAAATTAATGAGGTTATCTACCTTAGTTACCGATTCTGTGTCAAGCTTGTTAAGGTTTACAGTTTTCATGAGGATAGTTAGAGGTGTCAATTCACAGACCTGCGATCTGATATCGCTGATCTGATCTGATAATTTGGATATCTCGGTATCGGTTTCGATGTTTCCAGCATTTACTGACTTGCTGTTTTTTATTTCCCTTAACTCAGCCTTAAGTTCACCTATAGACAACTTTAGAAGTTCTATTTCTGAAGATAGTACTGAAGAAGAGCTTGATGGCTGGAGTTTTTCGATAAGCACATAAGGTGAAGGGAGGGGTTCTGTATGAGCAGAGGGTACTGAATTTTTAGGAGTAGTGCTAATACTAGCTGTCAGTACAGTTTTATCCTCAGTTACAGCTCGACGCTTACGGCATACAAGTGAGTTATGTGACTCATTATAGCCGTTTGTAGGGGGGGTGTTGCTTGATGTAGCAATCAAGGACGTTAAATTAGACACCAGTTTTACAGGGGAATGGGTTCGTTGCTTTTTACTTTGATTAACCATAACTATTAGAAATGGAAGTTAGTGGTTACAAGTATGGAAGTAGTATAGTACTTGTGCAAGTACTACAACAAGATAAATTTTATGTAACGAATCACGTAAAAATGTAACGCAAACGTTGAACGTACCGCGATGCAAGTGTTAATAACATAATTTTGGCCCTTGTTATTTCCCCCTTATACTCTCTTGTTTGTACTCTATAGTGAACAACCTTCTTAAACATACTTAGCTACCTAATATTATTATCATTGACTTACTTTTTTGTACTTTACTCTATTCCTTCTTTTGTTTATTTACTGGGTCCGACTATATCATCACTATGATTATTACAAAACTGTCCCGTCATTAACTATCATGTAATATTAATTTTTGTGGTTGTTCTTTGTTCGGCACTGTTTAACTGACAATCTTGGTTGTGAACGCCGTTATCACCATCTTAAAATTTTGTATTATGCATGATTACTCACACTATCACTACAAACACCGCATTAGTGCTGACAACAAAAAAAAAACAACCTGAAATGTTTATTTTATGATTGTTTAGTGTTGTTCAATCAAATTAACTGATCATCTTGGCTATAAACATTCTCAAGAACATCTCAATAATTTCTTGTATGATTATAGCTGTCACTGTTCACCACGCATACACACATCATAGCTTCCACTACCCAGTACTGAAATATTTTTTTCATCATTGGTGTTTATCTTCCTTTCTACTTGGTATTTTTATTTGCATTTTTTCTTTTGTTTTTTCGTTATTTCTGTGTTTCCATTTTGGTTTTTTGCTGTGTTTTTTATATATATTTATATTTTTTGTAATACTCCTTTTAAATGTACGATGAAATTAGATGCAATATTGTAGATATGTGCTGAAAATTCCACACTGTACCACAAGTACTGTTTCTGGAATAAAGCGAAATTGTTATGTTAAGTTATGAACAAATATTACAATAATAAATCACGATATAACTTCTGACGGTATTTGATCTTCTTTCTGAACAGCGACCGATGAGACGATGACTAGTGTATCGATGCCTCTGCGAAAATATAGGAAGTTGGGTTTGAGCAAACAACCACGAATTGATCGTTCAATCTTCAACTACATTGACAAGGGTTGTTTCCAGTTAGCCCACAGTAATTTTAGGGATTTTTTCTCGTTAGGATTAGTTTCCGGAAAGATTAGATTTATTGTTAGGGTTAGAAGACCTAAATAATTACATGCATAGAATGTCGTTGACTTACTCGTTGATATAAGAATAGAAATTGTGCACTGTGATACAGTATAGTTCCACTGCGGGTAAAAATTTTTCGATCATGTCTCACAGTGTTACACAGTCATAGTTACTGATGACGTTTCGAGCACGATTTATTTCTCAGTAAATATGACTGTTACACTATGAGGCTTTATCAAAATAAACTTTGCGCACAATGGAATTATACTCTGTCTATTCTACATTGACAATCGGAGGGGTTATTTTTACTGTTTGTATATATGTGTGGTGTCATATCAATTGTTGTTTTTGGATCCATTTTGTTTACTCGTTCTTTTCGTACCTTGTTATCATTAAGTAATTTTGTTGAAATTTTCGTCGTAATTACTTCTGAAGTTGTTTCTTGTCTTCTACATCCGTGAATGAATTGATTGATGTTAAAAACAGCAGATGGGTCGTATACTCTGGGGAGGCCATAGCTGAGAATGATATGCATACGGAGACAATTGTTAGCTGTGGTCCCACACGCTGGGGAGCGAGAGTGTAGACGACTGAGGCTTGCATACGTCATCGTTACTAGAATTGAGGCAGAATGAGTGACAAGCGATTGCAGTGGTAATTGGTAGTGAATAGATAAGAGGATGTGCGAAGAGTATCATGAGGTGCTGATATGATCACGTTGGGTTCTGCAAGAGTCATTCTAGCAATTGGCGATTGTGTTACTAAATGTCAAGAGGATACCTTTAATTCGAAGTTGTAGGTCGTCATCGATGTGTGAGATTGTGCTGTGGGTATGTCTGTGGTGTGTTGGCTTTTCTGTTTGTTTTCCATTTCAGCTCTGTCCGTGTGGTATTTTGAGATTCAAACATGCGTTTCGATCCCAATCTTAAAAAGTAGTGGTGATTGTTTCAATGAAACTAGCGAACAATGCTTCTTCCTCTAATATCTAAAAATCAGTTCAGCTTCTTTCCAAGAAGCGATACCATGGGTCCAGCACAGATTCGTGAGACATCTTGTGGGTCATCGTGCCCCACACTTACCTTTCCGGATCTCTGAAGCCATTTCTGACCAAGCTATCACTTATAAACTTTTTACCCGAACACCATTTTTCCATTATGTGTAAGACTTATTTTAATAAAGTCTCACGATGTTATACAGTAATGTTTACTTATGACGTTTCGAGCACAATTTATTACTCATAATCATATCAAGGTACTCACACAACTCCAGATGTGAAGGGAAAACTGCCTTCAACCTAAAGCGGGACACAGCAAAAAGACCTGATGGCATGGCAATAGTGGCGTTTATTGGCGGTGTTGATTAATCCTCGTCTGGGTCAACTAAGGTATTATGTAGTTTTCGGGAATCTAAGTTAACTACAGTATAAATCCTTGAATGTCTGGGTCTAAATAAGCGAGATAAATCTTCCCGTGATTACGTCGACGGAGATGTTATCCGGAATTCCGGGTCCGATAACCGTTCGTAATATTATGGCTGCGCGGTAAAAGCAAGCCGAAGAAAACCAGGCAATCTTAAGGCCAGGAAAAGAGAGTGAGCCGATTGCGTCTTCACCGTTTGACGGATTCATAGGTCCACTTACTGGTGCCGTAAACTCGTCATATTTCTGGATTCGAAGGCTCCATTCGATTCCTCCAACCAAGGGCTGTTCTGGTGACACGCCCAAAGAGTATATCACATTAATCATGGGACTCTGGTCAAACTCACACAGACGTCTAGGAGCTTGTCGTGACTTTTCGTCTGAAGTGATGACATATAGGGGTGCCCTTATGGATACCCAGTATGACAGTTTAGATTTGATTTCATCGTAGATATACTGATGGGCATGAACCCAGTTTGCTTGTCACTACGGTACAGTTTTATTGATTTAGAGTGTGTAGATGATATACGTGATCTCAGCAATGACATTAACAAGATAGAGGGTATTCTGATCCCTCTGAGCAGAGAGAGTGGTTTGTTTGAAATGCTACTCACCATTGACAAATGTGTCTCAGCGATGCAAGGCTGACCTCAGCTGACTCTTACTTTGAAGGTGCAGGGGGGGATAACAGAAGTTGGGTACCAGTTCGCCTAACTGAAGGTGTGAATCAACCCTAATGAACTGACTGAAAACGATTGAACTTGTCAACCTATTTCGTCTCTTGCGCAGATATGATTGCTGTTGGGGTGTATGTACTCCACATCAGTCCGCCTCACTGTTGGAGGCTGCGAATATGATAAAGTTAGCCGTCCACGACAATAAGTACTCGTGTTCTGTGTCCCGTGTCAAACGGTATACTAACGTGGGTAACACTGAGGTTAAGCATAATGTTAGCTAAGGAGGGTAAGTCAATCGATATGGTTGTGAAGCTGACTAGGACAGGGTTGCCAACTACCTGGCTGAAAACTCTGGGGACTATCTCTGTCATAGCTCAAAATTATTGAGTAGCACAGGTGCATTTACCTCCGCATTGTTTCCTTTACGTTTTTGTGGTCTATGGAGTATGGCAGTTTGAGCTTTTGCCCTTTTTTGTGAAGCTGTAGGTTAAAATCTCAGCAAATGAATCACTTTGATATTCCAGTAACTTGTAATTAAGGTAATTGGCTGCTGTCCGAAACGTACACACCCAGTGCCGGGAAATTTGCTAGTAGCGCTACTACAAAAATGAGTGTTACTAGCCGGCTTCTTGGGAGACCCGGCAAAAGTGTTTTCGGTTTAGGTGGATGGCTCACAAAAAACAAAGAATTTAAGAGATACACTTCCAAGTGGCTTCCTGATAAACAGTTTATGGACCAGTTGAAGGATGCACTGGTTAAACCTGGATTTCGCAAATCTATGCAGAAACCGTTACCAAGTTTGTTACTGTTTATATTAATGATGTTCAGTCGACATATTTACAAGGAGACACATGGAAGTTCAGTCAGTGCAGCTTAATTTTGGCCCGCAACATCCTGCAGCTCATGGTGTCCTAAGGGTTATCATGGAACTAGATGGGGAGGTAAGCTTATTTTCTGGTCTACCTCTGTATTTGGTTTCTCAGTCTGAAATAATATTTGTCCTCAATTTGTCTTATATCGCTTATTAAATATTGAAGGCACGTTTATAATATCTAGAGGGAGAAACAAAACCAACTTTCAATTTTTATATCAGCCCTTAATGTAGTTTCGTTGTATGTAGTTTGAAAACGGGTGATTTCTGTGTAAACTACTGACATCTTTTCTGATTCACTAAAAATATCGCACAGTTGTTTGTTACAATGGTCTGAACGATTCTTTGGTTTCACTTTTATTAAGAACTTGCGTGATGTCTGACCTTTGACACTTATGCGTCGTTACTTAGTTGCTGGCGAATCACAATTTTTCCCCCACATTACTTTGGATAAGAAATTGTGTTGATTTGATGTGTTTGACAATAAGACTAGTTTTTCCCACTTAAAAGTGTTGAGAGGATTGTAGCTATGTACCATACCAGTTCATGACCAACCGAAAATTATTGTTAGTTTTTCCTGTTAGGTTACTAATGTCAGCCAATCCCTCACTTTTGACAGTGAATTTTAGGCCATAGGGCCTTAGAGGACTCATTATTAGCATCTATGTGTTTCCTTTGGATGCTTAGGAACATCATATTCTTTTATTCACCTAGTCTAATACAGGTAGATATTTTAACGTTTTTGGTATTCATTTCTAAAACTTTCTTACAGCACTGCAAAAACAGTTATTGAACTTTTGTGAAGACTAATATGTTTAAAGTCGACAGCTGTTCTTATTTAAGTAATTACAACAGGCCAATGTCTTTTATCTTCAAACTACTGAACTCTTTAGACTCATAGTTGCACCCAGTGTGGGACCCAGATATCAAAGGCGAAGAGTGGTAATTTTCCAGTGTTGGAATAGTGATATTCCCATTTCCAGACCTCATACACGATGAAGACAATTAATAGCTTTCAAATTATGATTTGTTTGTGATGATGTAGCTCTTTATTAAAGGATTCTGTGTCCAAATTTCCCTAAATCATTAAAAGACAAAAAGTGGGATTCCATCTTCGTATGTTGATCACATATATTTGTTCTTTTTATTGTGAGTTATAGTGTTTCAATTTTGTTTCAGCTTATTGTGCGCCTCGACCCCCATATTGGTTTACTACATCGTGGTACAGAAAAGTTGATTGAATACAAAACATACACTCAGGTTAGTCCTTGAGATTTGTTTTCTCCTAGTGTGTGATGATCTGGAGTGACGCCAATTTTATTGCATTTCTTATTTTTCTAGAATAGAACATTATACTATTTTAGCCCTAAAGTTAGTCTTGGATGTTAGTATCTTAACATTGCATAGCTTTATTAAATTAATTGACCTAGCGTAGTAATTTATACAGCGTATTTGGCTGTGAGATACATCTCTGCGAACGTGAGTATTCATCCTTTCGAGAAGTCTCAGAAGACATGTTTTCATGTTGTGGCACATATAATGCTAAAAGCAGCTTTGTCCCATGTGACTTGTGATGCATCGAAGTTTTGAAATATTGCCTTGATAAAGTCTGGCATCACCACATTCTTTCTTTTCAAATAACTAACTACCAAGTTTCTAAACCTTTCTAAAGAAGTCTATTTAGAAGAATCATTGGGATTCAAAGCATGAGTACATTAGACTGAACCAAGGTGTACAGAATTTTAGATGTAAACCTAAGCTAACATCTCTTGGGACTTTGCAATGATATGAAGTCCATTCACGTTTGCTTTTTCGGTTACGTTAGGTAAGCATATGAGACCAGAAATTATCGACCAAACATACTCCAGTTTCATACATAAGCATTTGGCCTTCAATATCATTTCGGCTGTCTCCAATATTACTCCCTGTCCCAAACCCTGTGTTGCATCTCAGGTTACTTAAACCATAACTACTATGGCATTGTTGTTAACATTTCTGGGCGGACAAATACTATTTTTATATCTTAAAATTGCATTTCCGATTTTCACGCTTCACGTCTTAGCATGCAAACTTGTAAACCAAACGACAAGCCCCACTATGACTACTGGGATCTCTTCCCATGGATTTATTTTGTGTTTAGCAACTAGATATTCTTCTCTGTAGGGTTAATTAGATTCTGTATCGAGTATAACTTCGCTGTGTGAAATTTTTATTAGATTACTGTCTTAACTTGAATTAAATTTATCTATCAGTATAAGAGAAATAGGGGAAATACTGGTATGCCCATCGTTATAACCGAATTGAAAAAATGTCGTAAATGGAATAACATGTTGACTTCACAGAAGGCAGCTTTTTCGTATACATTTCTATAAAATTTGATCATAATGTAGAAAATCTTTTTTCTTTTATAAACTCAGGCTCTACCTTATTTCGATCGACTTGATTATGCTTCTATGATGTGTAACGAACAATGTTTTGCGTTGGCTGTGGAGAAGTTGCTGAATATTGACATACCTCCGCGTGCAAAATATATTCGAAGTTAGTCATAATGTATGCTGTAGAGTTAACCGTTTTTATCTTTGTTAGTATTAACGTCTAAGAAATTGTTACAACCGGTAATTCCCTTTGGTCAGTATGATTTGGTATGATTTCAATGGGTTTCAGTGGAGTTTTAGACATTTGTATCTGTCACTCATCAGCATATACTTTCGAAGCAATGGCGTTTGAAATTCATTCATTGTGACTCGGTGAAGGTCAAACAACAGTCCATAGTCTCCAGTTTTCTGTGGTGTAATTTATCTAGATGGGGTCATTTAAGTGACATAATTCGTTGTCATCGCAATTGTAATACTATTGTAATTAAATCTGTATAATTGCCCTTACTAAGTTGCATTTACTTGTGCTATAGTCAGGTTTGGTTTCTCTCTTTTAAAATACAGCTGCAAATAACGCTCTCCGATTTTGCGACTACCGTTTTATTGCTGTTTAAGCTCAGCTTTCGGAACTGGTCATTCTTGTTCCAAACTATAAGCCACACAATTATCTTGAGAGAGCTGATAAATTTACCCAGCTGCCCAGACTGAAGCAGTTGGTGCGGGGTTCGGACTTGGGAGTGCGTACGAGTGCGTACGCCAATGAGCCTCATTTCTATCTATAGAATGGTGTATTTGTGAACTGTAATCACAACACTTTTGTCGTGCATGGTACAATTCACTCACCAGTGATATAGGATAGAATAGTAGTCAATTTAGGTAAAGAATTCGTACTGATCAGTGTAAATTATGCTCTCTGTAATGATCTGTTGTTTGTTCAACTAAAGTGACTAACTGATTAACTTACGTATCATCGCGGAACTTTGTATTAGTTCAAACTGACGATTTGGAGCACACATAAAAGTAGAAAAAAAGTGTAGTGAAACTAAATTGAACAGAGAGATGTATGGAAGAGAAAAAGAATCAGATCAACACTAATCAGAATTTTGAGAGTCTGAAGGTTGATAAAGATTGACTACTTTTGTGCTATTGGGAAAGATTTTGAGCCATGTCATTAAGTCTGAAACAATTGATTTTTAGCATACCATCCTTACGGGGCCCAAGTCGGCGGTCAAAGACTTCACACATTGTTGCCATACTTTGATCTAACTTCCCCTACTTTTATATCAGAACAGGAAGTTGCTGGCTGGACCTATGTAATGCATGTCCTTTCCATCCCAATCAATGCAGCCCGACAACTTCGTCGATTTACTTCTCTTCCTTATCTAGCACGACGCTTGACATTATTACTCTCCATATTGCACCACATAGGATTGAATACCTTTAGTTAAAGACATCATTTCCTCAAGCTGTAACAGCGTAGATAAATACTTCACAGTACACATTTCCGTTGATAGATTGATGGATATCGAGTCGCTGTCCGAAATAGCGTAATTCGGCAAATGCCAAATGAGCCATGTGTACCTGTTGTGACATTTCGTCAGCGATTCCTAAAGTACGTGAAGGGTTCAACAAATTCCTCTGGGAATTGGTGCAGACCAGCTTTCCAGCATCTTAAATCTGACTGCGGCAAATCGCTCAGGTTGTTCAAAGATTTTGCATTTTGCCGGGTTTTCACCTTGAAGGACAATATCATCTACATGTTGTACATCAACGAAACTTCACTGCGGTAATAACTTCATCCTTGTAAAATCAAGGTCGACTAAAGTCATATCCAATAGCACCTATATAGTGAGACTAGAAATCAATGGTGACACTGAACGTTTCTGGGGGTGGGTGGGTGGTACCATTGGTTGTCATTGATAATAACTTTCCGTATGCTAGCGTATAGCTGCTTAAGTTCTAAGAGATTGCCTTGATTAGCACTGTTTACTTTATTGATATTTCGTTCACAGCTATACATTGCTATGGCACCAGCCGAATTATGGAATTCAATGCCGCCATCAGGTCAAAAGATATAAAAAAGACTGGAAGTTATTAAACTATAGTTCATTATGCTAGCTTTTTTCTTCCCATAGAATATCCATATGTATTGATGCATGGTTCCCAATGGTTTATGTCACAATGTCTATGTAAACAGTTTGTTTTTTTGTCTTTTAATTTTTATCGGTAAATTCGTTGCCTTCAATAAAATGCTGCACTGACACATACAGGTGACTAATCCACTAACTTGTCTTCTTTTTTATTTAGCATTGTACGCTGAAATAACTAGAATAATGAATCATTGTTTAGCTGTTGGTTCAACTATTTTGGATATTGGTGCTATTACACCAATCTTTTGGTTATTTGAAGAACGTGAAAAAATGTTTGAATTCTATGAACGTGTATCTGGTGCTCGTATGCATGCAGCGTATATTCGTCCAGGTGGTGTTGCTTTGGATATGCCACTTGGATTAATGGATGATATTTATGAATTCATACAAAAGTTTCCCCAACGGTTAGATGAAGTAGGTTATTTAGTTTATCTCCTTTGAATTCATATCTGAGCCATCAGCTTAAAAGTTTTACTCTTCTAATAGCTTGAAAAAATTTTACCACTTAGTCAAGTAGTTGTGTTTCTGCATCACAACGATCGAGTTAACTTTCGTTTTCACAATTGTGTTTGTTTGTGTTGTAGTATAGTGAGTGATAAAGGGTTTAAAAGTCCATTTGTAGATCTTTATGTAATCTATGCTCTTATATGATGGAAATTGACTTTGCTTTTTGTTAGACTTTCAGCTAATCAAGGAGTGTTATTGTACATTAGATATTTTTGAAGTATACTTCCGCAAGTAAGTTGATATTTTCCCGGACACTGAACACATACATACTTGTTGTTCTGCTCACCATTTTATTAACTTGAGTAAATCTTTTTATGTAGTATTTCATTCACCCACAGCTTTGTATTGGGAGTGTTGCAGCAAAGTGCCATGCACAGACGGCTAAATACGATACGCGGGCATACGTTCATATAATGTGAAACAGTGCATATAGGCCCATTCGTTTACTCTAATGTATTGCACAAAAGCAAAATCGTCTTATAATTATAATATATACCGATATGTTTAAATATTAAAAATAAAAATCTCCAATAACTAAATTTATTTGTGACCACTTTATTATGATTATTTCATTGAAATCAAGGTCGGCTAAACTGATTTCGTAAGGTGATTTTAAGTGCGCTAGAGTAGAAATCACTTGAATTAAGACGGATTTGGGTGTTTTATTAGTATGTGGTGAAAAGTTAACTTGTAACATTACCCTAGCCGTGGCCACTGAGAGTGGAAGACATGAAAAGACTAGCTGTCTTTGATCATAGGTGCCTGCGCTCTAATTCTCGTGTAAAGTGGCATAATAAGGTGAGCAATATTCAGGTTAGGCGTCGAGTGCTAGGTAAGGAGAGGAAATCAATCGACGAAGTTGTGAAGTTACAAAGACTGAGATGGTTAGGACATGTGTTACGTTACGTATGCCAAGTCATCGCCTCCCTCGACGAGCAATGTTAGAGTATATAGGGTCAGGCTGGAAAAAAGCTAGCGGCGGTCAAACAAAAACTTGGCACCAGTCAATGAAACCCACAACAGTTGGTCTAAGCCACGTAGGAAGTGTAGACTTCCAGGCTGGGGTCCTCGGGACGGTAAAAATCTATGGTTGGAAACAATTGGTGACATGGCTCAAAATCGTTCTCAATGGCTGGCGCAGATGCATCCACTCCTTGTGACTTATGATTTCCAATGAAACTGTTTTGTTCTTCGTTATTACTCTTCCTTTGTCTCACACCTCTGTTTAATGTCTCTATTATGCGTTTCTTCTCTTGCTTTATGTGCTACATGGAGGGAGTGTGGCGATTTGAACTTCCGCACATTTGTGCAAAGTTCTATGTCGAAAACAAACAGACAGACAGACCTAGCCGTGAAATGATTAAAGCGTAGGTGTTATATGTGGGCAGCCGATAGACAGGCTTAAAGTGCATAAAAAATTGCCATTTAAATATCTAAACCATAAAGTTACTTAGCTTTCGAAGTTGAAGAGCTGATGACCATGTAAAACAAAGCATAACTCAGGATGAAAAGGTTAAACGAAGCAATTGGCATGTTATTTTTTTCCCCGATTAATTTGCGTTTCCCGTTGATGATTGATCATATTGAACCGAAATTCTCAGTCTCTTTTGATGAGTGTTAGTTTCAAGCGCGGATAATTCGATTATGTCTTGGGACTAGTGCGAAGTTATTTTGATCGATGGTGGCTAGCAGTGGAATTTAGGATGCGCATTCGGTGCACACAGTCGAAGCGTTCGTACCAGAACCCGACATGTCGACAGATATCGAGAATTTCTGTTCAAACTAACCAATTAACGGGGAATTTTTTTTTTGATTTACAGCTTGATTCCACACTGTATTTTTGGTACAAGTATGGAATTTTCAGCATGGATATCGGTAGCCCAAATTTTGCAGGCCGACCATAGATATCAGGTGTGCGCCGGCGTGGGCTCGAACCCCGGACCATGTGCATGGTCGGCGAGAGTCCTAACCACTGTGCCACCGATACAAAGCTAACTAAAGACGAATACCTGTTAGTCGTTGTACAAGAAATGGCTCTTGTAGCGTTTGAGGCGATTGGTGTAGGGTTCGAGTTACAGTGGGGATACCACTACTCACTGAGGTTGCAGGTACATCCAGATGAAGAGTTCCAAACAGGACGAGATGTGCATCCTGGATTCAACTGTTAGTTATCATCAATCAAAAACAAGCTAGTGGTAGCTCACTTAGCTCAGTTTATGGCTATATATTACCTCGTTTGTTTACTGGATATCTTTAACCGAAGTAAACTTTATTACTATAAGAGATCGGAATATTCCTACTTAAACTATAACCGTTAACAAGTTGTAGTTCTAAGTGATAGTTTAGTTTAATCAAGCTGTTTTGATTCAGCAGTTAATGATTCCTAACTGCTATACTCATATCGAATATCAACATAAAACTTGAACAGTGTGTTAGAGTATCATTCCATGTCATCTTATTTATTTGATGTAAGACGCTAGTTGTATTTATTATTCCATAATCATATCACAAGGTGGTATGAGACAAAAGTTTTAAAATCTAATGCAATTTAGTGTAGAGGGGTAGGAGTATTAATTACTAAAGCGTTTTCATTGCATCAACGCATATTACATGGCCCTCAGACACGACTCAACAATCATTGCAGATATTTAGAGAGTTTCGGGGAAAGAAGACACTGGAGAATTATGAAATACGATTTTTGATTACTTTGTGACCAGGGGGGTATATCAAGTTGGGTGTTAGGACAAATACTCGCCGATGACGTTGGCTAGTGGTTGCGCTATGTCATGAATTGGCAGAAGTTGGGATTTTTGGGCAAGTATATCGGGTCCCAGTGGCTTAATGATCTAAGAGCTCGCCTTGTAACCAGAAGGTCCTGGGCTCGAACCGGGGCGGTGATCACGTACCGATGAAGAATCCCGAACTAAGACGAAACAGCTGTTCAGTACTCCCAGCTGGTTTTCCATGTCAGCTCACGATGAAAATCCTGTGATTTTGTGATTACTTTAATATGATTATGAACAGTAAATCATTCTGGAGACATCATTCACTGAATTGTGCTGTATTGTCATATCCTGTAGCAAATAATGAAACTAACATGAATATATATGTAGCTCACCCAATATCAATCAATCTAAATTGGTTTTCAGCACTATACAGGTATTTTTTCCTAGTTAACTCTCCAATTATATTTCCAATTTAATTTTCAGTTAGATGGAGGACTAACATCAGTTAGGCAACCATTGAAAAACCAGGGAGAATCGGGCATCTGTCCAGTTCTAGTTTGAGACTCTTAAGCAGTAGACACCTACGACTCCACCGGGTTTAAACCCAGTAGCCTCGGGTTAAGAAGTGAGCTCATTAACCATTCAGTCATTGACATAGGTTGTATGCCTTGAGTCCTAGTGAGAATTTGTGACCACTGAGAGGTCAGTCAGGTTGTTGATGAGAATATATACTCACTTAGGACGTTTGCTAGCAGTGTCACTACGTATCAGAAATTGGTAGAATTTAGGATTAATGGGCCGTTGAACACCATTCCGGTTCTTTGATTGGTCAACAGACTCAAATCGTAGCTTGAGGTCATGAATCTGATTGCCAATGAGGTGGTAGGTGCGTGCCAATGAAGAGTCCCAGAGTAGGCTGAAACAGGTGTCCATTACTCCGCGGTTCTGTAACTGATATCTATTCATGGTCTGACTTAAAATCAATCAAATCCCTGTGGAGCAGCGCTTGAAAATTTAATTTGAAGAAAAGTATATTGCCCATATTTTTAGTATATGTTCTTTTTACCTATCTGAACAAAGCTATAAAAAAAAAGTTTGTGCAATACTAATAATTAGTGTAATAAATATCATTACTTTCAGATCAGTGATCTAACACTAGACAATCCTATATGGATTAGTCGTACTAAAGATGTTGGTGTTGTCAGCGCTGAAGATGCATTGGATTTAGGATTCTCTGGAGTTATGTTACGTGGAAGTGGAATTAAATGGGATTTACGTAAAACACAACCTTATGATGCATATGAAGATATGGAATTCGATGTACCAGTAGGTGTTCATGGAGACTGTTATGATCGGTAAGCGTATATTCCGATAATCATAGTAATAGTAATATATAATATAATATATGTAATATATAAAATGGACCCACACAAAAAACTTGGAGGATCTGGACTTCGCCGATGATATATGTCTGATTTCCTACAAACTGGAAGAGATACAAGTGAAAAGCAACAAGTTGGCAGAAGAAGCATCAAAGATTGGACTTCAGGTGAACATAGAGAAAACAGAGGTAATAGGATTCCTGGCCAACAGCAACAACAACAACGGGCAGCGATAAGCATAAATGGGAGGAACCTTAGTGAAACAACCTCCTTTACCTACCTGGGAAGCATCGTTTCAACTACAGGCCGACGGAACTGACGAGGATATCAAAGCAAGAATCGGGAAGCAAGACAAGCTTTCATTACTCTTAAGTCTGTGTGGAGGTCAACAGCACTCACCATCAAAAATAAGATCCGGATTTTCAACTCCAATGTGAAGTCAGTGCTACTCACTATACGGATCAGAGACTTGGCGCGTCATAAAGAACCTCTCAAACAAACTACAGACTTTCATTAACAGTTGTCTTCGCTCAATACTCAAGATCAGATGGCCAGAAAAGATCAGTATCTCTGGGAGTGAAACAACCAGGAACCGATTGTGCAACAAATAGGCAGGAAGAAATGGAGGTGGATTGGCCATACTCTGATCAGTCAATATTACTGTATAACACTGTGTGAAATTTTACCAAAATAAATTTTTCCCATAGTGGAATTATACTCTACCAAAGTGCACAAGTTCTATTCTTATATCAATGTATTTGGCTAATTAGTGGATTAGTTTATGCATATGTGTCTGCGTGTGTTAGTAAAAAGTGTTCAAAATTCTAAACGGTCTTAGAATTGAGCTATCTTATCTTGTAAGTGAAAATTCCAGTGTGAAATAAGTTATGGTTGAATTAGGCAGAATTATGTTTATTCAGAGCAGCACCAATTATTAAGGAATGTAGACCTTTTGAGTAAGCAGGTATTTGGAAGAAATTACACACACACACATGCTGAGCAATCGTACTGACATAAAATACCAGCCAATGGCTGTCAGATATCGAAGTTCGCCTGTAACTGATAAGGATTACTGACTCTAGGTCTGTGTTAGAAAGTGTTGGCTGTCTGTTGTGAAATCAACAGACGTATGAGTGACACGCTGCAAAGTAGATCAAGGTAGTGGAAGTCTTTCTGAAGTCTCAAATGTCAAACAAATCACAGTGGAGAAAAAGGTCATCTACATTCAACTTGATTATAAAGGTGAAAATATTACAATGATTGTCAACAGAAGATTGAGGACGTCTCTAGGCAGAGCCTATCTTGCAGCTAAGCTTGTTCCCATCTATCGAACAACTTGCTCTTTGGTGCAATCAAAAGTCGATAGATATCCTTCTCATGTCAACTCCAACTGTATATACTAATTTACATGTATCTGCAGGAGCAGTTACATTGGAAGAACGGAAAGAAGGGTGTATATACGATTTTCTGAACATGTACCCAAAAGCTTATGTCTAAAGGGAACATATGCTTTAAACAGTGCCATCGTCAGGCATCTCCTTGGCACGGGTCATGAGGTGGACATCACAAGATCGTTCAAAATTATCAGTAGGCAAAAGAGTTCAATTCTCCTTAAGTTTGCTGAAGCCATCTCCATTAAGCGCCTGAAACCTGATTCATGCATCCAGAAAGAAGCGGTTATCAGTCTTTCTTTGCCCTGGTAATTGGATATTTTCACCTCTTTCATCTGATTACTTAATGTAGAAAGTTTCCATTGTGTATGATAATTTGTGTTCAAAATAGTGTTTGATATTATATATATACTGTATGCATATATTGATTGATTTCTGTTTAAAAATGAACTCTGTGAAAGTATGTTAAAATCGCTTCTGTAGATATATTTAATAATGACTTTGGCCTGTAAGCGTATGATGAGAAGCCAACGAAATAAACAATGATGGTACCATTTTATTCTGCAAAAACTGTTCTTGCTTTATCCAAATTATATATTTCTGTTATTTTCCTCAAGAGTTTCTGTTTTTATCCTTCTCATCTTGTTAATTTATTCCCTTGGTTATCTCTTAAAGTATAACTGGTAGCATCAATATATTACATCACTAAGACCCATATTGTTTTCGCTCTTTTTGTGCAAGAGTGTTTAATTTGCTATTTCCTCTGCCTGACTAAGTTTCGACGTGGAAATTTGCACAGAATTGCACCAGTGCAACTTACCACACTCTATGTACTAGCCCACAAAGGTGGAGAAAAGAAAAATTAAACAAAACTATAGTGAGCGAAACGTACGAGAGTAAGAATGGTAACATGCACAAAGATGAAAACTTAGTGGATCTGGGTGATAAAAAGAAGTGAATTCATCTGCGCCATATAGGATAGTCTCGAGACATCACCAATAGTCTCAAGTCCCGCGGACCCCAATCAGACAGTTTATACTTCCATACGTGACTGACTCAGACTAACTGTCAAAGACTTCGGTTTGACCACTAGAGACTTTTTCAATCCAATCTTATGTCATCTCGATGAGGAAGGTTCGGTATGCACAACAAATGTCCCAGACATATTAATCTATGTAGCTTTAAATAATCATCGATTGACTTTCCATCCTTACCTGAAACTATACCTCTACTCTTGATATTAATCACCATATTATATCACTTGACACTGAAGATGAAACGCAAACATCTATGGTCAAAGAGAGCTAGCCTCTTCAGGTCTTCCATTTTCAGTGGCCCTGTTTGGCAGACATAAAGGAGGACAGAGTGAACCGCTCTACAGTGGCCAAGTACAACGTTTACACCGAGGATGACATCAGTTGGTAAATGCTACATGAGCCTCTTGTATCCGTGCTGAGATTTCATCAGAAATCGGTCTATTAATGCTGATACACTTTTTTTTAAATGATTGGTGTGGTAAGCGTGCCTAACCACTTCATTCTCTATATTTAAACTAGTAGTGTGGTGAGAGCTGGCTGCAAGCCAAAAATTGTAGACAGCAATTTACGTCAGTGTTACGTCCCGAATCGGGGTCATGAGGAAAACAACAACAACAACAAAGCTTAACCTTGAGGAACTCATCAACCAATCACAGCAGACTTAATGTGTGAAAATACGATTCGCAGATATATGGCTTAACTTCCAGAGAAACGGTCACAAGCCATACAGAATAACCTTCAGCAAGAAAAGAAAACGTGCTTCTCCACTGACAATAATGTACGCGAAAATCTATAAATATCTGTTGATTTTCTCAATAAACGATCTGTTGCCTGGCCCTTGTCTTCTGTCTTTATAGTATTATATGCAGACCAATCCTGTGACTATACTGTCATTACACTATACCTCAGAACTAAGATGAAAGTTGTATCAAATTTATCCAAGTTTAAGCAAGGTACTCTATTTAGTAAACCCTTGAATCGAAAGAAGATCAGTTACATTTCATAAGTGTAGAGAAGCAAATATCTTATCATTCATACGTTGCTGGAGTAATTTCAAATTACTCACTTTTATTCCCTTCTAGGCTTTTCCACTAACATATCCAACAGATTGAATACAAGTTGCCTCAGTCAAAATAGACAGTAATTGTGTCTAACTGTGTCTAACTACGACATGTGGTATGCATGGCTAGCCATCACCTTCCTCGACGGGCAGTATTAACCGACATAAGATCAGGTTAGGGAAAGAGTTAGTGGTGGTCAAACCAAAACGTAGAATCGATCAGTCCATGAAATCTTTAGCATTTTAGTTTGAACCAACCACGTAGGAAGGTGTATACTGTCAGCCTGGTTGGGGTCCTCGGGATGGTAAGAACCAATGGCTACACCAATGGAGACAATTAGTGATATGGTGCAGATGTATTCAGTTTTCATCGTCTCCCATATCTATTAAAGTCCTATTGTTTCTCTGTGTTCCTATTCTTTTTCCCTCACATTTCTGCTTACTGTTGTTCTTTCTTATCCCATTTTTTTTCTCTCTCTCTCTCTGTCTTTTGTCCTCATTTGTGTGGTGATATATGGAGTGTGGGAAGTTGAACTGATGCACTTCTGTGCAAAGTTCTGTGTTGAAACCAATCAGTTAGTATTTTGTATGCATGAAAGTAGACTAGTCCTTAAGTTATTGTACAACCAACCTATGAATTATTTTTGATACAGTTGGCCTTAATTGTTAGCTCAAGTGTCATTTTTATTTATTTATTTTATAAATAATCAAGATATATAGTTAGAATGGAAGAAATGCGTCAATCTATGCGTATTATAGAACAATGCTTAAATAAAATGCCTAAAGGTGAAGTTAAAGTAGATGATGCCAAAATCTGTCCACCGAAACGTGCTGAAATGAAAGATTCAATGGAAGCGCTTATTCATCATTTCAAATTATTTACAGAAGGTTATATGGTATGTTGCCTAGTATCCTTTATTATTATTGTTTTTTAATTGGTACATTTTATTTCTATGCTGCTTATTGTAGACGTCAGAGCATTCCATACACACCTTAGGACTGGTGTCGATTAACTGCAATTGTCAGATATTCTGTGAATTGTCATGATAGACTGGGCCACGCCACAGACTGTAAGAAGAGAGAAGACAAGTAAGGTTTATAAAATCTAGATTTCGCAGACGATTTATATGTAATGTCGTACAAATTTGACGACTTACAGGCGAAAATCAACAAGTGTTGGCAGTAGAAGCAGCTATGACAGGATTTCAAGGGAGCACAGAGAAGAGAGATGTGATGGAGATTTCCGATCATCACCAACAGCAAACATCAATCACCACCATCGATGAATCAAATCTAAAAGAAGTTGCTTTTTCACTTACATGATGTAGGCAGCATGACTTCAACTACAGTCGGCATGGGTGAGGATATCAAAGGCAGGATTGGAAACGCAAGACAGGTATTCATTATTTTAAAATCAGTGGGGAAATCTGCTGCACTCATCGTGAAAATCAAGATTCGGATTTCCAACATTATTGGCACACGCTTCGCCGAAAGCATTTTTAACAGGCTGTTGCAGACTTTCATCAACAGCTGCTTTAGCTGTCTTGATAGTGAAGATCAAATGACCAGAAACGATTAGGAACTAGGAACTCTGGAAATTAACCAACCAAGAACTTGTTGCCCAACATATATGTAGAAGGAAATGGAGTTGGATTGAATGCACACTGAGGAGGCCGTTGAGTGACCTTTCGCGTAGCGCCCACGAGAGGAACCTGAATGGGAAACGATGAGTTGGGTATAGGTTTGAGGTTGACATGGGTGGGGGAGATCGTGTGAGAAGGTAAGGGCTCATAGGTAATCCTAGAACCAAATGAAAAAGACAGCAGAGAAGAGAGTGAAATGCAGATGCACTGCTGAAAAACTATGTTCCATTCAGAACTCAAGAGAGTAGTGATATAATTATGTTGTGGAGTAATCGCAAATGGAACATTCAAAGCCGCAGCTTGAAGCTCTTTGTTCCACTCGGAACGCGAAGGAGTAAAAAAAGCAGTTGTATTATATTTACAATGGCATTTTTTAAGTCTTTCCAACCTATCGGTTTGCATTTTCCTCATAAATTGAAGTAGTGGTTAGAACTCCTTTATTCGTTATCGGGGCTCACAGTAGTGGTCAGTTGTTAGGGTTGAAGTAGGTTGAGCGGGTTTGAACTTAAGTGCTTGAGTCAACAACCACATCTCCACTTTCCCCAGATAAATTTACGACAAAACATCTTTCTACTTGACAGTGAAGTATTAAAGCTTACAAAAATTAGTCATCGTCATTATTATGATGACTGTTTCATTGTCCTACTGGACAACATCTTCAGCGTCTACTTCATTATGAATTTTACTTACCACTATAGTTAGTTGCAGTATGGCAGCAAATTTACTTCAATACACTTCTGGTTTTCAGTATGATTTTTTTCAAAGCTTTGTATTTCATTTTTAAGCAATGTTAAACCCGTTATTTTTCTAAATACCTATTCGTTAACATGGATTTAATTTTCTGCATAGGTTGATCGTGTAATCTGTATAGGACGTTAATAGAGCTGCGAGTCAGTGACACGGAAAGCGATCGCTTTAATGGTTATTTAGTTCTCTTCAACGACGAAACTGTACGATTGTCGTGCTGCTTCTACTCTCATATAACGCTGCTGAATGGAACCGTACACATGTGATTAATTAACCATTGGAAAACCTGGGAGCACTGGACAGCTGTTTCGTTCCCTAACCTATGTCAGCTCATGATGAAACCGTCCAATCCAATCGAACAAAACCCTACAAAACCAATACTTGAAAAATTGATCTTATGCTCACTAGCGACTGGCCCTATTCAAGCAGTTGTCTAGGGTTCTAGTGGGAAGTCGTGACCAGTAGGCTACAGGAGGTTGAAGGTGAGGCAGTAACTCATTGAAGAAGACATTGCGAAGTGGTCGCGCTCTGTCATGAATCGGCAGAAGTTAGAATTGATGGGCTGGCCGTTGGATCGGGTCCCACTGGTTTAATGGTTTACGAGGTAGCTCGCCTTGTAACCAGGAGGTCGTGGATCCGAAACCCGATGGATGCGTGCTGTGAAGAGTCCCAAATAGGACGGAGGAAACAGCTGTCCGGTACTCCCTGCAGATTTTCCGATGGTTCCCTATTATTATTATATTTATTTAAACGCATAAAAACTTGGTACAATATGGCAAAAAGAAGGGTGCACCACACAATAATAAAACAAAATAGATCAAAAGGAAAAAAAGAAAGAAGAGAAAAAATGTTTATGTAAGTAGAGAACGGATAAAGAACTTCATCTGGAAAGAAAACAGTCATAATTAACAAGTTCAAACAGTATTCGTTAACTATCATCGGGAAGGGAAAAAAGAAGGAAATTGCAACACGTGTAATAGCACGCGATAAGTTTCATTGATTGTTTGTTGCTTTATTCAATTGATTGTGTGAGGGCTGAGATACTACCCGGGCGCCCAGACCGAAGCAGGTAGTTTTATTAAGGGACCACCCCCGGAGCCTTTGACTTGGAGTCTAATCCGCAAGGCAGCGGAGCAGCGTCAGGAGGTGCATTCCCATGGTTGACGGTGACCCATATGGGTTCATACGCCATTTGATCCGATTGGATACTGGAGCCCATGTATCCCATGGTAACTGCTTTTAGTTTAACCGCTATCCAAACAACCTTCTTGACATGGTAAGACTTGCAGGGACAGAGTCCCAGTCAGTTTAGCATGTTGGGTCATTACGGTATTCAAGTCCGACCACCACGACAAGGTAGCAGTTATCGGCCGGGCGATGGTTCCCTAACCGATGTCAGGTCATGATGAAATCCTCCAATCCAACCAAATAATGTTTTGTTGGAACTTTCTGTTGAGGCTATAGTCAATATAACCCTGTGGACCTCTATGCAATGCACTGTAGATTGACAAACTGACTATGGATTATTGAGAAAACGTTCCTTTTTATTTGATAACTATAGTCCATTTTTGGGAGGTGGATTGCCTAAGGATTCGTCTTAGGAAACCTTAGCATAGATTTATATACACAAGGATTGTACGATAGTTCTAACTATATTTTGATATATTCAAAGAATTTCTACCAATCTATTCCAATAACTTTTCCTTATCTATTTTCAAATTTCACAAATTATCACTTTCAAATAATATTCAGGTGCCACCAGGGTCAACTTATACGGCTGTGGAAGCTCCAAAAGGTGAATTTGGCGTGTATTTAGTCTCAGATGGTACAAACCGACCATACAGATGTAAAATTAAAGCACCAGGATTTTCGCACTTAGCTGCACTGGATAAACTTTGTCGTGGTTTCCTTTTGGCAGACGTAGTCGCAGTTATTGGTAATACAACTAGTTTTGATGTATTCACTTTACTTTTACGTTTTATTTTAATTGTTCGTGGTTATGTGAAGTTTACTCTGTTAAATTAATAGTTTGATGTTGGGAAACGACTTGAAGAACCAGGAGAGATTTCATCTTTTACAAGTGTGTAAGGAAACGAAAGATGAGACAGGAGATGTTTAATATATTTGTGAAAAAGATGCATAAACACTGCATAAAACTGTTACATAGGATACCTTTCAGAGAAAGGTATCCTATGTAACGAAATGCAGAGTCTTCTAAACACCTTGAGCTGCAATCTACGAATGTTTGGCATGCGATTCGCTCCCGCCAAATCCAAGATGATGATACAGGACTGGACTACATCGACGCCTAGTTTAAAAATAGGAAGTGAAGTGGTAGAGCACGCTGACCGCTTCACTTATTTGGGAAGTACCATCAGCCCCAACGGGCTGATCTCTGACGAAATCTCAGCACGAATACAAGGGGCTCATTTCGCATTTGCCGGTTTACGCCGACTTGGCGTAGACGAGATGTTCGACTATCGACCAAAGGGCGGGTGTACTGCTCATCAGTCCGCTCCGTCCTCCTTTATGGTTGTGAGACCTGGCCACTGAGAGTGGAAGACATGAAAAGACTAGCTGTCTTTGATCATAGGTGCCTGCGCTCTATTTCCCGTGTGAAGTGGCATAATAGGTGAGCAACATGGAGGTTAGGCGTCGAGTTCTAGGTAAACAGGGAAATCAGTCGACTAGGCTGTGAAATTACATCGATTGATATGGTTAGGACATGCGTTACGTATGCATGCCTAGTCATCGCCTTCCTCGACAACGGGCAATATCAGCTGATATAGGATCAGGCTGGAAAAAAGCCAGTGGTGGTCAAACAAGAACATGGCACCAGTCAATGAAGTCTACAAAATTTAGTCTAAGCCATGTAGGAAGGTGCAGACTTCCTGGTTGGGGTCCTCGGGACGGTAAAAATCAATGGTTGGGAACAATTGGTGACATGGCTCAAAATCGTTCTCAATGGCTGGCGCAGATGCATCCACTCCTTGTGACTTATGATCTCCAATGAATCTGTTTTGTTCTTCGTTATTACTCTTCCTTTGTCTCACACCTCTGCTCTTTGTTTCTATTATGCTTTTCTTGTACTTTCTTCTCTTGCTTCGCGTGCTACACGGAGTGTGGCGACTTGAACTTCCGCACATTTGTGCAAAGTTCTATGTCGAAAACAGACAGACAGACAGACTTTTCTCAGACATGTGATGAAAACATCTCCACTTTCAGCGCAGTGGTATCAGTTGAGAAGTTACACCACATTCTGTATATATATTCGTCTAAATGACTATAAATGACATCCCTTTGAGACTCACTAATAGCCCTAATCTTGTTTTTTAACCTCCCCCCCAAAGCCTTTTATAGAATTGGTGTGTGCCCCTGTAATGGGATCCACAAAATCATTAGAATGGTTCACTCTGTGGTGAATATATCCAAGTAATGATAGGGAGTGTGTATTATGGATCCCTGTTTCACCAGTTGAGTGGCAATAGGTACTAAGGTAGTAGACTTTCTGTCTGGTATTCTCTCGACGAATCCTTTCCGCAGGGAGGTGTCAAATAAACCTATCACCCAAACGCTGTTGGTTCACTGACGACAGCAATTGTATTTTTTCTTCAGTAACACAGTTTCATCCACGTTTACAAAGATACCTTCTCCGCCTGACAACGAAGTAATTCTCTCCATTATCCATGAGACGATGTCTCTTCAGTCCTCGTACTACTAAACTGTTGACACGAGGCTATTTTCAGTTTCAGCAGCCGCGCTCTTCACAGGCTGTTCTAAAACCCAGAAATTAAAAATATAGAAAATATGGGTTAGGGAAAGATGCGATCTAGCAAAAATGTTCCTACGAAATATTAGAATCATCAGCTTACCTGCCTTGACACTAACTCATCTCAAATAAATTGCACAACGGTGGGAATATACATCAATCGACTTGCTGAAGCTTTTTATACTCATGACACCTCCACATGAACAAATCCTTTCCTTCTTAAGCAACCCCACATTCAAGCAATACTGGAAAACCAAACTGCAAATGCAACTGCGTTAGAGCAGGCATTTACCTAGAATGAAGTGGAATACAACCTTCAACTCATGTGGATGAAACTCATTGGAGCATCCAAGGTCATTCACTGATCGGTAGTTATTGGTGCTTAAAGTTTAACTTTGCCCATAGAACTTCAAAAAAACGACACCAGTTCAAGTTGCTATACTCCATTTAGCAAAATAAACTAAAAAAAACTATTAAGAGCAGAAGAATGCATGAGAAAAGAAATAGTAACACGGGAAAACATGAAGGTTTTTGGTGGATATGGGATATCACAGAAATTGAATTCATCCACGCCATTGAGAACAATTCTGAGCCATATCAGTAACAGTCTCAAACCCTTAGGTCATGACTTCCTGAGGACCCCAACAAAACAGTCTACACAGTCCCGTATGTAACTTCCTCGAACCAGCAGTGAAAGTCTTCATGGATTAATGCCAGGTTTTGGCTTGCAACGTCACCAGCAGAGAGATATAGTAGAAAATATTGCAACCAATAAAATCTAAGGATAAGAGATAATAATGGAATTATATAAACGAAGATTGAAAGTTATGTTACTACTTTGTTATGATTATAAGTAGTAAATTGTGCTCAAAACATCAGCAGTACTGTATGACTGTGTATTTTTATCAAATAAAATGATTCTATAGTGGAATTATACTCTATCTACCACCGTAGCGCTAAATTTCTTTTCTTATATATATATGATTGTCTCTGTGTAGAATGGAATCCTTTTTCTTTACTAAAGAGTCAATAGCTGCGTGCTTATTTTGCATATTAGATTCGGTACAATAAGAAGGAGTGTATGCAGAAAACCTACATCAACTGGTCAGTATACCCATTTTTTTTAGCTTAGTGCCTTTGAAATACAAACACAATCTAATAAAGTGCTTGGTTCGTTACAGAACAGGAGCAATCTGTTCTCATGAATATCTTAGTGACGAGCTTAATATTATTGAACAGTTGCTGAGTGACAACAGTTATCCAGAAAAATCCATCGATAAGAATATGAATCAAAAATCAAGACAGGCCAAGGTATCAACATTTCATAAAAAGACATTCTTACAAATTCAGTTCCTCTGGGACAACATCAGTGAGATATTAACAAAACCTCTTCGGAATGCGGTAAAAAGAGCGTTTAGTGCTTTTGTATTACTCTGTATCCTTATTTCGCGTTTGGGAGTTAAGGATAAACTGACTAATTTCGCCTCTTCTGTGTGCATCTACCGATTTGACTGCTTCTGTAAATCCAGTTACATAGGCCGTACAACTAGCGTGTTTATCGTCAAATTTCCGAACACCATCCTGCGTAGTTGGTTAAATAAGGGATAAACAAAATCTATTCATAGCTCTATTCTATCTCATCTTGTGGACACAGAACACAAGATTGATGTTAACGAGGCAGCTTTCTAAGTCATCTGCCGTATACCAGCTAATCTTAACTTCACTTTAAGATTTCGTCTACTATATATTGCTGAGGCAGTTGGGATCCACATTAACAAACCTAACTTATCTTGGCCATCTAGGTTCTAATGATCCTCATTTTTTTGTGGAAATTTCCTTAATTTTATTTGATATTCTATTTGCTAGTATATCTTTATTATTATTATTATTATGATTTAAGCATCTTTGTTGTTGTTGCTCCCTTGGGTTCCTAGTGGAGCATAGGGCTTCAACTGCACGTCTCCATTTGCTTCTGTCTTCTGCATCCATGTTAGTCCATACTCTTTCAACTCCTCTTCATACGATCTCCTCCATGTCATCCTTGGACGTTCCACACACCGCTTCCCTTTCGGCCTGGTTCCACTCGAGCGATGGCCTGACGCGTGCGCGATGTCACCCAGCGGTCTCCTCAGAGAGCGAGTGTCCGATCCATCTCCACTTTCTCCTGCATATTTGTTGGGCGATTGGTTCTTGCTTTGTTTGTTCCCATAGTTCCTTGTTGGTGATTCTTTCCGGCGATGTAATTCCATTGATCTTACTTAAAAAATCAATATTATTTAAAAAGCACCAATATTGTTATTGGTGACTATTCTAGAATATTCTGTGTACATAAACATATTTATAATTGTTGAGCAAGAAGAAGAAATTATCGAGTAGGATATTCTCTGCTTAATTGTTTTGTTTTTTCTAGATGTCTGAATAAATATTTTCGCTAAATTAAATTCGCATTATCCTACGATTTGAAAGTTTTTCTCATATAATTTGGCTTAATAAGACTGTGTCTAGCGGAAGTAAAGATGTGGCAAACCACGATTTTTAAGTGTTTAGCTCACCACTAATCGGATACATTCCATTCTCTTGATTATATGTGTATATAGCTTTGGAATTACTCTTAGTACTGGTAGATACCCTTTCTTCTTCCTCTGTTCTTATTCAGAAGATAGCGTTAATAAGGCAAAATGCAGACCTACCACTTGCAATTTGATGATAGTGTTAGTCGTTGAGACTTACTATGACATATATAATGAGGTAGGATTAGTCTGGAAGAAAGTCAGGGATGGTCAAATCAAGATATAGTACCATTCTATGAAGTCACTGATTATTAGTCTCAGCTGTAGATGTAGCCCTGAAAAAAGACCTAGTACATCCGAAGGCGAGTGGGTAGACTTCTGTCTTCCTCTCAAAATGTTGTTATGGAATCTATCAAGTAAGTCCTATTCACCGCCTTCATGCAGCAGAGCTGTTCCTCACAAAAAGTGAAAAGGCAATTAGGGACCTCTGATGCTTACAACCCGGCTGGCTGACCTGCTGGTCTGCCAAAGGGAGTTGGAAAGCGCTGATTTCAAACGTATGGTTTACATAGGCAACCATAGGAACTTAAATCCTAACGCCGTTGCTCAGTTGCCTTGAAGATCAAATTCTAAGTCAACGGCTCAGGAATGGGAGGTTTGGCCCCTTAAGATGACCGCCTACTTCAGTCTGGGTGTCCGAGAAATATATATGTATATGCTTTCATTTCTCCCTGTACTTACTTGTCAACTTTTTTCTTACTATATAGGTACATTGGATATTGTATTTGGAGAAGTAGATCGGTGATCTCATGTGGTTATCTGTAGTAGTTTGCTCAATACCGAATTGCACTGATATCCTTGTCCTTTTACAATTAATACTCTGTAGATCTAATATATTGAATAAAAACTTCTAATTATTGATGCGTTTTGTTTTGTTCTTCATTTTTATCCAACTGCCTGTTGTGTTTGTTGTTCATTGTATTTATAAATCTTACATGGCATCGCCTTATTTAATAGGTTAGTATGCGTGACTTCTTGTGTATTCGGTGTTTGTGCCTACTGTTAGCCAATATCTGTGGGGAGTTCTGACTGTACTTTTCAAACACTAAGTTGTTAGATTGAATCCCTCTCCATCAATCGTGGCTTATTTTGGTTTGCAGGGATTTAATTGGTAACAAGTCTGGTTACACGAACTGACGTCAGTTAGAGAATCATTGGGTAACCAGGGAACAATGGATAGCTGTTTCGTCCCAGCAGTACGCATTTATCACCCTGCTGGGGTTCGAACCCAATCCCCTCCGGTTACAAGGTGAGCTCGTAGGTCATTCAGCCACTGGGATCCGATCCAATGAATTCCAACTTCTACCAATTTATGATAGACAGAGCAAGCACCAACCAATACCTTCTTTACTTGGTGAACTTCTTACGAACTAGCCTTGCAACCAAAAGATCCTGGGTTTGAACTTTACTGTTTGTGCGTGCTGATGAAGAGGTCGAGACTAGGCCGAAACAGCTGTCTAGTACTAAGTTGTTGTCCAGTGATTCTCTGACTCGTGATTGAACATGTACGCAGTCGTGAACTAATCAATCAAATGGTGTTATTATCTTTTGCACACATAGATGTATTAGTCAATCCCAAGAGTATGAATTTCTACGACGACACGCGTTACTGTTAAATTGTTCTGCAAAAAATAAGTAGGTAATTGTGTTGTACTAAGCAAGCATAGAATGGAAGAAACTCTTGCCATTCAAACAAATTACATCACTTCTAAAGTTTCGGCTGTGTGTTATAATTTTAATGAATGTCACCGTCCGTAGTGGATAGATATTAAACCTTATTCGTCATTCTAATTCCATGCTATTTCATATTCTCTTTTTATTCCTGAAGCAGGTTTGCTAACGGAATTCTACAAACAATTAATTTATATCACCAATTAGGTAATTGATAAATTCATATATATCCATAAGTGTGAGTTATATTATCAGAAGTAGTTGCTAATGTCACTAAATAGCTGCATGTATGCTTATGTACTTGATCATCCATACGTGTATGTATTGTATGTGTGTATAACAGATAATACCAACTAGTTGTCAATATGTCAAAGTTTGAACCTATGACATTGGAAGTTGAGAAGTAGTCAAATGTGTTTACCATGACTTCTTTGAGAGGTTATATCAACCCTGATACATTAATTATTTACTAAAATTAAGCGTATACCAAAAAGACGTACTTAGGGTCTGTCAGTCTGCATCATTTCTGACATGGACTTATTAATGTATCAGTGAATGTTCAAGCAACTGTTGAAGATTAAGACTCATGAGGCTGTTGCAGGCTTTCGACCATCGATGTCTTATTAGCACTGACTAGCATATTGGACAGCGGCAACCCACTTATCCCTTAGAGTTAAATGCATATGCTAGGTGTTAAACGCAAGTCATTTCACTTTTAACTGAAGAGGTTTTTACATGTTTTACTAAATAGCTTCCTATCATGCCAAACAGTGTCAAGTTAAGTACAGTCGGAGGATGGTCTCGTCAAAACATGACAGTAGCACCTTAAACTTTATACTTATCGATCTCAGTCCTATGGAAACCGTACAATATGTTCCTCTCTCTATCATCTTTAGTGTTTACAGATTCGTTGATATCGTTCAAAATTGATCAGTAGTGCAGATTTTCATCAGTGCATAGGTTTTACTTTATTTGAAATGGTTATCTGTTTTAATACAGTATCATTTTTCTATACTGTTAAGAAGTTTGGCAGCTTAAATGGCTACACTTTTATCTCAGTTATTTTTGTTTTGTATAATTGATTTGTCATTTTGGATGAATCTATTCAAATTCACAATTCGCGAGTTCCTGTGCAATTCACATAGTTCTAGGAAGGTGGAAGTTTACCAGAGTTTACTTTGGGAACCGAAGTTATTCAGATCACAATAAGTGATCTATTTCATGCCAGTTCGCCCAAGTAGCTAACCAGAAATTGCTTGGTTTGAACTGATTCATAGTGCACCGCCGCGGATTAGCTCTGCCCCAGACGAGCGGAACCGCCGTCCGGTGTTTACATCACCTCGATCTAGCTGACCAGCAAACACTACTGGTTTATATGATTGGTATGCAACTACTCATCAGAATTAAATCAGTAGTATATCGTTTCATGCGAGTTTTTTTTCTCTTTGTATGTTCTGATTATTGTATTTTAGCTAATAGTACTTATCCTTTGTTTAAAATTGTGTTTATCTCAGTTAAATTTATGCCCTTTATTGTCATACTCTTTCTTGTTATATGTAGGATCGTTATGGACTATGATAAACTTTCTGCTCAAACCAAATGTCTACTTCATACTGTATCAGAGAGTGTTGGGCAGTTGGAACACATGATACTTGGTTTACAGTCAACCTCAGAATTGGATGAAATCAATAAACTGGCATATAGTTTAAATCAAGATATACAAAATGTATGTATTGTATAGGTTCAATTTAGTTCGATTATTATTGATTATTTTTTTTCCTCTTTGGGTCAAAGAGTTTTGTAATAAAACTGAGTTAAATTTGTCATTTGAGTTTTATTCCAAAGATACAACACATGTAGGCGTGAACGGTATTGTTTTGAATTAAATTCCATCAGGCTTTTTACCCTAATATTCATAACTTCACAAATAAATATCCAAATATAAATCAATCACGATGATTTATCAATAGGATGATAAGATTTTGCATATAAATTATGGCGTACTATTATTAGATAGCTTAGCCTACATGCATGCACTGAACATCTCCCATCGTGATTTTGATAAAGGACTGAAGAAAGTCATCTGAGGCTCTGTTCCGTCGCATTTAGTTGATAGTGGTCATTCAGTGGAAACAACGAAAGTATTCTTGGTGATTCATCACATCTTACGGAATGTTTCCAATAGACTTTGTGTATTTGTCTACTTCATGTAGATGAGGCGATTGTTAGGCCTAAATCATGCACTCAGAGGACGTTCGTGCAACCGTTATTTCTCTCTTGGTCAGTTAAGACCTAACCATATATATATATATATATATATATATATATATATAATCTTACTGCACCTTCATTAAAACATACTATATCTGCTTCCCGCCCTTACAATCTCGTCCTACTTAATCAGACTATTTGTTTTTCGTAGCCTGTATCTACCTTGTCTATCTAAACATTGGTTTATTCAGTCATGTTGTTTTTTTCACTATCCTTATTATCACAAATTGCTCCACTTTTTTATATTTTTGTTACCAGTATTATTATTAGTATGACTTATTGCACAATCTCTCCGTTGTATTGACAAATCACCCTGGCTAGTTTATATATATGTAGTGCATCGGTGGCACAGCGGTAGGATGCTCACCAAGCACGCATATGTTTCGGAGTTCCATCCCCGGCCAATGCACTCTCTTACCTCGCTAAGCCAGTAATAAGAATGATAAAGAGGGAAGGTTGGGCATGAGGCTGGCTAGCAACCCCATCCTGTAAAAATAAACACCACTGCTATAGAAACTCCAAAGCTCCAGCTTGAAGCCCTATGTTCCAGCACTGGGAACGTAGCGGAATAAAAAGAAGTTTATATTTAATTATATTTCTTTGTAAAATTATGCATATTAGGGTAAACCTTGATAAGATCTGATCGAAGACAATATTGTTCACGCTTACATACGTCTTTCTAAAGATACAGCCTGTGCTCACAATCTGATATTTCTTTTGAGGCTTCCAGGTTTCTAATTAGGTATTTTTTTATAAGTAAACTAGAGATCATCGGTGTTGTATTCTCAATCACTTAATCGGAAGTTGGTTAGTAGCCCCACACTGAGATTAGGAAAGAACTTATATTACTGTGTATTTCTTTTTTCTATTGGTTGTTAATGCCTATCAGAAAAGAATCGATAGAGATCTCACTGTTTTCCCACTCCTTACACAATCTGTTTTTATAATGGTCTGTGGTAGTTTCTAAATGCTTGACCATCACGTGATTTTGTTGGTTGATAGTGCCTAGCAGTGGAATTCTTCCACTTTACGACTCATCAACTGTATGCACCTGCATTACCAGTGAGTTGTCATACTCTCAGTGACCTCTGCATCAAACTCCAAGGCATTACCGACACTAGGGTCATAACAGGATCTTTTGTGCAACGAATGTCAGTTATTATTTATTTTTAGGTCAATTTTCATATCCCATTGGATGGAAATGCTCGGTCTCTGTTGACATGTCAACAGTCCATGTGTTCTCACTACTGTTGTTGTTCTGTTTTTAATTATTGTTTTAAATTATTGATTTTCGTATGTTTTATTTTTGCAAAAATAATTCAGATTAATTCAAATTGTGATCGTCTGTCAACGTTGCTTCCAACTGTTGAACCATATTCACGTCGTTCTCAATTACGTTTAAGTTTGGATCAAACACGTTTTGAGTGTAAACAATATGAAACAAATTTAAAAGTTATGGATCGTAAAAAGTAATTGAAAACTTTTTTTCTTTATTTCACATTGTTACTCAACTGTTACTATATGAAAGTTTTCCTATTATTAATTTTTTTATTTTGTCCCCTTGCATTTCGAGTGGGACATAAGGCTCCAAGCTTAAGGTTTGAAGTTTCAGTGGTAGTAATTTTTTGTCTACGAGATGGGGTTGCTAGCCTAACACCCAAACTTCTTTCTTTATCGACCTTACTACAGAGTTAGTCAGCTTTAGGTGTTGCGTCGGCTGGGGGATCGAACCCGGGACCATGTGAGTGCTTGTCGGGTGTTCTGCCACGGAACCACCGACGAATGGTAATTATTATTTCGTGTTCTATAGCTCATCTGATAGTATCTTTTGTATTTTGGTGTCTACTTGTCCTATTGAGTCAATCGCATCAATCTGTCTGGAAATACTTTGTTCCTTTATATTTAACTATTGTTCAATGCGGGAACTTTAATGATTAACATTGTATAAGGATAATTTAATTTACTCTTGTTGTCCTTATGGCTGGTTATTAACACGTGTTATTTTGCTTGAAACCCCTGTAAAATGTAAGATGCTGCTACAGGACTGGACTACGTCAACTCCCAGCTCAGTGATAGAGAGTGAAGTGATAGAACATGTTGACCACTTCACCTATTTGGGAAGTTGTATCAGCACCAACGGACTGATTGGTGACGAAATCTCAACACGGATCCAAAAAGCTCGAGCTGCTTTCGCTAACTTACGCCATCTCTGGCGTAGGCGTGACATCTGGCTATCAACCAAGGGACGTGTGTACTGCTCAGAATTTTGCTCCGTCCTTCTCTATGACTCTGAAACACGGCCGATACGAGTTGAAGACATGAAAAGGTTGACTGTTTTTGATCATAGATGTCTACGGTCTCTTTCTCACGTTTGATGGTATAATAAGGTAAGTAATGTTGACGTTAGGCGTAAAGCGTTGGGCAAAGAGGGAAAATCAATCGACGAGGCTATGAAGTTACATAGATTGAGATGGCTAGGTCGATCACGTGCTGTGCATGCCTAACCATCGCCTCCCCCAACGGGCATTACTGGCTGATATAGGTGCAGGTTGGAAAAGAGTAAGTGGTGGCCAAACAAAAACATGGCCTCATCAATCCAGGAAATCCTTGACAGTTAAACTGAGTCAGGTAGGGAGATGCAGACTTCCGGGTTGGGGCCCTCGGGACCCTAGGAATCAATGGCTGTAGACAATAGGTGACATGGCTCAAATCGTTGTCAATGGCGAAGATGTATTCAGTCTCTGTAATCTTTCATATTTCTTTCTACCATTACCCATTCTGTTTCACTCTTATACTTGTAAAACTCTATTGATTCTCTTCACTCATCTTCTTGTCTACCTTTGTGTGGTATTTGGAAAGTGGCAACTCGAACTGGTGCACTTCGGTGCCAAGTTCTATGTTGAATCCAGGCAGACAGACATAAATGGCCAACGAGCTCTCCTCGTAATCTGAATGTCCTGGGTTCAAACTTCAGTAGCATCATGGTGCGTACTACTGAAGAGTCCCAAACACGGACGAAACAGCCGTCCAGTACTCCCCTACTTTTCAGTGCCTCTCTAACTAACATCAATCCGTGATCAAACTTGAAATGGATCCAATTCGTAACAAATAATATTTGAAGCAGCGTGTCGAGCTGGCGTCGAAATGGATGTTCATTTAAAGATACCTCAATATTTTTACGTTTTTTTCATGAATCAAAAATAAGAATCGTTGAAAAGCGTCCTGCTCTTTTTCTGGCTAGTAATCATTGATCAATTATTAGATGAATTCTGGTTGAATGAGTATTATCAAGGTTAAACTTAAAGAAGTCTTCTTAATATACATATTACTAACATTTTCTAAACTCATGTTCCTTGAATAATCGAATGCGACCTTAATGCCATCCTCGACGGAACTAACAACTAGTGGAAGGTTTCTTGACTGTAGCGGAAATTTAAGATCTTATAGGAGATTTAAACCAGGTTTGACTGCATACACCACTATTGCCTGCAAGTGGATTATTATTTCCGGTCAACCTCCGTGACCTAACAATAGTAACATATAATGATGACACTGTCAATGTATCAATTCTTTGACTGCTTTAGTGTTTTCTTAGGATTCTTACTTTCAAGAATGATATTCCAGTGGTACTCGGTGTACACCATTTGAGGTATGTGCGTTGGTGGCACAGAGGTTAGGATGCTCGCCGACCATGCCCATGGTCTGGGGTTCGAATTCCGGCTGACGCACTCCTTTACCTCGCTAAGCCAGAAATGATGCTGGTATAGAGGAAAGGTTGGGCATGAGGCTAGCAACCCCATCCTGTAAAATTAAACATCGCTACAGAAAGTACTAACCGCTAGCTTGAAGCCCTATGTTCCACTGGGAAAGTGAAGGAATAAAAAATTTTGAGGTACACCATAATTTGAAATGTACGTATAACTATTCCATTTGCGGAGATTTTTTTGTTATCATATTGTATTACGACATTCTCAAATAGATAATAATTTCTAATTACTAAATGTTGTTAAAAACTTTCAATTGTAAATCTGTTTTAGAAATGAAAAATGGCGACAGATAGCAGAACGTGAAGAATTACTATCCCAAGACTTTTCTACTAATGCTTCTGCTCGTAGTGGTTCAACTGTTGTCCGACTTGATAATGACTTGGAACACTATTCAAGATTGTCAAATGTTGGCAGACAGATTGATGATATGCTAACATCAGGGTCGTTCAGTTTAAGCGCTTTAAAAGAACAAGGGTATGTTAATTATGCATATTTTTCTGAAAAATAGAATTCCTTGCACCAAAATACTCAGTTTAAAATTTTTAAATTGTTCCTGGGAAAAGTTAAACTATAGCAGCCACTGTGATCCACATGATCTTCGACAATCTACTGAAGTTACCGTCTGTATAACCAGATCAAATTATGTCCTCTCTTCGGGATTTGTTCAACAAGTTCAAGGAAGACTGGGTTTTGTTTGATTATGGTGTGAATAATGGTTTAATTTGGGGTTAGTAAAGCTTGCATGTGCGGAGGAATCTTGACCCGTTAGGTGGTCTTTTGGGGGTAAATTAAAGAACAGAGTCATAAATATGATCAGATCTCATAACACATAATCTATAGTTATTTTCTTAACAGTTTTGCGACTTTCATTGCGTCGGTGGCACAGTAATTAGGACTCTCACCGACCATGCACATGGTCCGAGGTTCGATCCCCTGCCGACGCTCACCTGATATCTATGGTCGACCTGCAAAATTCGGGCTACCGATATTTAATGCTGAGAATTCCATACTTGTACCAAAATTACGGTGTGGAATCAAGCTGTAATCAAAAATAAAAAATATAAAAATAAAATAAAAAGTACCAAACTTTAATTATTTGTCCAAGCTTAGTGGTAAGGTCGATTAAGATGGCTGTGCTATAGTTTAAACTTGCCTAATATCAAAATGAAAAATTCGACATAACTAACCTTTAATGTCATTGCTTTAACCTTTCTTGAGTCCAGTAAATATCTCCAGTTGCGTTTCTTAATACCTCTGGTAAATTATTAATAAATTTGGCTTTAAAGTGGTTTTCATCGCTGATCAGTGTCAACTAGAAGAGATAAGGAAATATTACGATTACTGAATAGTTATTTTCTCCTGTATTTGGGATTCCCCAGCGATCCATCCATCCAGACTATCCTATATGTGAATGATGAAGTCCAACACTGTTGGGCCTATAACAGTACTGGCTGTTTTACCGATATGCTACACTATATCCCAGACTTACCAAACGTAGTATGCCTATCCTATTTGTAAGTATTGATTGTTGTTGTTCCCTTGAGTTCCTAGTGGAACATAGGGCTTCAACTGCACGTCTCCACTTGCCACTTCTTTCTTCCTTCTGCTGTGCTTTTCACCCGCATCCATGTTAGTCCACACTGTTTCAACTCCTCTTCACACGATCTCCTCCATATCATCCTTGGACGTCCCACACGCCGCTTCCCTTTCGGTTCCACTCGAGGGCTTGACGCGCGATGTCACCCAGCGGCGGCCTCCTCAGAGAGCGAGTGTCCAATCCATCTCCACTTTCTCCTGCATATTTGTTGGATGATTGGTTCTTGTTTTGTTTGTTCCCATAGTTTCTTGTTGGTGATTCTTTCCAGTCATCTGATCTGATCTTCAGTATAGAGCCAGCGAAGACAGTTGTTGATGAAGGTCTGCAACAGGCTGTTGGTGGAAATATTCTTTGTGACCCGACAGCCAAGTTTCTGATCCGATCCGTATAGAAGAACTGACTGACTTGACGTTTGTATTGAGAATCCGACCGAATTTTGTTGTTGATGCTGGCCGAGTGACGAAGATTTCCAGATTGGTTTCAGGTTGATGAATGTGTTTCTCGCCTAAACTCAGTTATTTAAGTGTGCTGTAATGAGCAGTGTGTATAAACGGAATAAAATGTTGAGTTTATTTAGTGTAAATTTAGAACTTGGACACTGTGGTAGAATGTAATTCCATATTAGATAAATTTATTTTAATTATCACACAGTAATGCAATATTAGCAACTGGATGACGTTTCGAGAGCGATTTATCGCCCATAATCATATCAACTTTTAGTGACACAATTTCACAATTTCTCTCACACATATTTTCCTTTCTATTCTGTCTGTCCAACTTCCCTTTGTTGTTTGTTGCCACTTTCCATATCTCCGGCATAGGCGTTGCGGCATTTCGATAGCACATTTGCGGTGTTTAATCGATAAACAAAGCTTCAGTGATTAACCTCTCGCTGTCTACACCTAACTAGATTACTTTTTAATGCTCTCGTCCTGTCCCACCCTATTTTGTGAATACATGCAAGTGAATGTAATACAATGGCTGAGCTTTTTTCTAGGTTATATTGTAGTGAGAGGTAACTGCTAGCTAAAGTTGGTAGACATTAATTTACGTCAATGTTTATGTCCTAAATATTGGTCGTGAGAAAAATGAGAACAAAGACTTTGCGTAGACGGATACAGTTAGCATATAGATGATCTGACATTCAAGAAACAGTCACAAAGAGATGAAAGATTAACTTCCAATGAGAAACAACCAATCAGAAGACCGTGTTTTTCTGCTAACAATAATCTACATTAATGTCTGTCTGTCTGTTTTCGACATAGAACTTTGCACAAATGTGCGGAAGTTCAAGTCGCCACATTCCGTGTAGCACGCGAAGCAAAAGAAGAAAGTACAAGAAAAGCATAATAGAAACAGTGAGCAGAGGTGTGAGACAAAGGAGTAATAAAGTGTAATGTACATGAAAATCTATAAATATGTGTTGATTTCCTTAATAAACGATCTGTTGCCTGGCCCTTGTCTTCTGTTGTTACAATATAACTTATCAGGGTCAATCATTCTAGCTCGAGCTCAACTCTTCTGTTCCAGTAATCTAGTTGACCGTGATCTACTGGTTTGACCCATGTAATTGACCTCACAGTCATTACATGGTATTTGGTAAATTGTAATATTTTTCTTAATTGGATCTATTAGGTCCTAAAGCCGACAAAGTTTATCACTGAAAGAGTTGGTTGGCTGGTTTAAATGCCACCCTAATTCCAGCCAGTTTCATTGAGAATTCTAAGAAAGGCCTCTGACGTCCCTTCTTTATGCGCCAGTGCTATAGAGGCTTTGAATTCTGTACTGTTTTCGTCTTTTTTTATCGCTACTCTTAGTATTTCTATGGTTATTTGAAGTTATTTGAGGAAAAAGATTTTAAAACTTATCTAGCTGGTGTGGTCGGGACTACTGATTTAGTGTTTGTTGCGCATTCGCAACAAACTGAAGAGGGGGTGGGTTGGCGCAAAAGAGCTTGCTGTTCTAGTCAGGTGTTTGCCCTTTAAAACAAAACTTGGAACACTTAAAGTTTCTGCCGGCGGGTTAGATGTTCATCTAGTTTATATTAATTTGACTCAGTTTCGTCCATTAATTTAAGCTCTCGGTTTCATATTGATGCCCTATATAGCGCACTGCAGGTCCTTCAATGAGCAACTAAATATTTCAGTTCAGTGGTAAACATTTTTCGAACGATAAGCACGTATTTGTGATGCTTAAGTTCTCCAAAATCACTCGTTTTCACACGATAACAACAGTGAAATGATTTGTTTGTATTTTTGACTCTTTGAGGAATATCCAGAAGACAGTATCTTTCATGTTTGAAGCTTTAGATGTTCATTTAATCAAATCTGATCCATCTCGTAATAAATATATACTTATTTTTCGTATCTTGACTACTCTAGGATGACTTTAAAGAAGGCCCAACGTCGTGTTATGGATGTTTTAAACACCCTCGGCTTGTCAAATACAGTTATGCGTCTTATCGAGAGACGAAGTCATCAAGATAGAATTCTATTCTGGGTTTTGGTGGTTGCTACCCTCATCTTGTTTTGGGGTATTTGGAGATTTTTCCACTAGTCAACTTTGTAAAACAAGCAGTTTCGATCTTTGTTTTTTTTGTTGTTGATTTTTTGTTTTTGTATTTTGATTGTGCTATGTCTTTCAACTAATTTTTTTCCTTCTCTAGTTGCTGATTAGGAGATTCGCTATTTGATTTCATGATATCATTCCATGGGTTGTAAATAAAATATATTTTACCTTGGTACCGTTTATCTTATTTTAATATTTCTAAACATGTTATATGGTGTATGAGTTATTCTCCTGTTTGACCTTCTGAAATAGTTGTTGTTGTCTATCTAAATACCGTTCTCGTGAGTAAACATTCTTTTGGTAATAAAGGCGACTTCAAACTGTAGCAGAAACCACCAAGTGTCTTCCAAATGGTGTTGAACAGGCGATGAATTCGTTAATAAACTGTTTTTCCACATGTATGGACAGCCTTATTCCTGCTTAAGTGCTGTAATGGAGCTAACCATAATACACAATCAAATATCTTAATGAAACTAGGAAATCGGATTAAGAGCACACCGTAAGCGCAATAAATACATGGTATTCACAATGAGTAATGCAGCTGGTTGTTTTAGAGTCACTGTTTAGAATCTTCAGTCTAGTTATTGGTTGGGGCTGCTGTAGCTTAACTCTCCGAATTTAAAGGAGGAGTGAATAAGTGACTTATAGGTTCAAATACGTCACAATTGATTTCTGGGTCTTTATTCTCGTAGAGAAGTTACTGCCTTGCAAGTGTTCATGTTTCCGAATCCTTCTGGCATAGTCTCCAAACACCAAAACACTGCTGAATTACTGTTTTAAAAATAAGGTCATTGATTGCAAATGGTAGATTTCACTGGATCAATCACAATGCAAAGTAAGCATTAGGGAAAGTCAGCCGAAATGTGGATAAACAAATATGAAACTTCAGTGCCACTATTAAATATTCGAGTATAGATAAAATTAAGAATGAAATTTGCAGTCGCACAACGCGGAAGGTACACTTTGTACCCCTTGGATATTGCGTACGCGACAAGATATTGCCAGGATATTCATTACGATGCTGCACATATTTACGCGGGTGACATTTTTCAAACGGATAATTTCAGATCATCCCCATGTAGGAATTGGATCTACTTGCACGGACTTCTATTAGAGGGTATCGCATATATTACCATGTTCTCACTTTATGGACTTACAAGGCACTGTTTGTGTTGTTATTACGTAACATCTAATCAGGTTTGTTAGATTCCACGTGCTTTAGTAGACACAAGACACTAACTAGACTATTCCTGAATGACACCATATATTTTGGTAGGTTTATTTATTTATTTAGAAAAACATCTGTGAAAATGGAGAATTAATGGTCACAAAGATGGTTATTGTAAGCAAACAACTGGTGGGCATTTAGAAGGTCTCAGCTTTTTGAACCAAAATTTGTGCGTATCTTACCCGCTTATCAAAACAACACTCCTGTGACACGTAGATATATTGAAGTAAGGTGGAAATTGCGGCTGGCACGACTTGAAATAGATACTGCATCACACTTAACCATTTTGCTGTATTGATTTGTTTTTGGTTACGGTATTGGGGGGTAGGAGGATGATCACTTGCATGTAGCATACCTTGAGTAGCTGTCGGGACCACTTTCTTAAAAGGTAATAGATTATGAGGGATGAACGGTGACCTCTTGATTTACATAAAAGTCACATTTCGCGGGAATAATAATGCTAGTCTCAGGACAGAAACAGCTTGCTTGGGCTTTTAAAATATTGGAGGTTGTCTTCCTACTACCACAGAATGTTGCCACTGTAACCAGTTCAATGAAAAATTTCTTCGGAGTAATTACGGAAATGTGATAAGTTTTACCCTAACGAACAGTGTAAGAAAAGTTGTCAGAAACGGGAAATGGATGGTGATTAGATGGAATACTACTTTTTTGAAGTGGTGCCTCCTGTGTTGTCTTGAGGGTACTTGATCTGAGTCGGACTAGTTTGCTTCTATTACAAAATAAACAACTTCTATCAGGACTTGATAGGTTTTTCTCTAGAAGGAAAGAGGAGAACATTGTTTAATACTCAACCTATAAAGGCTTTTATTTTTTTACACTTTGTTTGATTTGAGCAGCTGTATTTAACATGGTTTAGATGTTTATTTGGCATGAACTAGGACGATTTCGTTAAGAATAGTCGTTCAACATTGCTTCCAAGTATAACTACATTGTTTGTGTAGCAGGGCGCTTGAATATATATATCATGAAAAAAGTTTTAGGTGTACCTTTTACGTTTGATGTAAATTTCCGAGACTGCAGTCTGAATGATTTCTATACAGTTTCGTGTCATTATTTGTGTCCATATTTGTCGTTCGTGAGTGTTTGTGACCATAACGGGGAACCTAGCAAGACGATGGATTTGGTAAGGAGTTTCACAACAGTTTCTGTGTCAATATCACCTTTAGGTTGTTAACCATCTAGCTGGTAACTGTCGAACACTCATCATCATTATTGATTCATCACACCAATTATAATGCAGATTACTTAAAAAATTATTTCAGTTCTTTAACATCCGATATGGTTCAACAGGAGTTTTTACTGAGCGGAAATGTTGTTTGAGTGGGGATTTTTGTCTATTTGCACAATACTTATTTGGATGTTATTGTATCCCTTTTGGTTGGTTAACAACAAAGATGGTTGGAAAAGACATTATCCATTGGCGTCTCTTTTTCTAGATATGTAGAATGTAGAATTGACTTACCCACATAAAGCTACAATTTCGGAACTTGAAGGTAATATCCTACCAAGTGGTCGGTACAAGTGAAAAGAAATAAGCAGAATGACTCAGTGCGAATCGCTATATAGGATATAGGGTGCTAAAGTGGGATTATCCATCGCTGTCCCTTATGCTTCTCCAGCCATGAAGAAAGTCTTTTGGGCAGCTCAGTAATTAACATGACTTCACAATTTATCCATGGGTACCGAGTCGTCGGCTAATTTAAAATCCTTCAAGAAAGGAATTCAACTGTAACCATACCAGGAGTTTTGTTAAATCTTTCTTATGAGTTTTTAAAGAACAAATTAGTTTGGGGTCATGCACTTTATGTAATGGTTCTGGGTGCAAAAGTTGGGATAGTACTGGTGTTTAAATGGTACAAAATCAAAAACACTAGTGTTAGGCGATGGCATGGGAACACAGAGGCCAGCTATTTGGAATGAATAAATACACTGTCCATCTCATTCGTGTCGTTGTTTTCACCAGCTTCAGCAGAAATATGTGTTATAATGGACATTAACTATTAAGGCTTACCAGTGACGGCCAAAAGTAAATTGTCAAATTTACTACCAGATGTGTGAGAGAGTAAGGCCAATCTACGGGATGTGTATGAGTTTTATGTAAAATGAAATTGTCATTACATTTACTGTATGGTTTGACATGGTCAGTATGGGCTTCTATAAAGCGCTCAGGAGAACTATGTAACTCCTCGAACACATTAATAAGAAGTTTCAGAATAGTCTCCTAATTATCAATCAGTCAATCTAGACAGGGCTTCAGGCATGACTTTTAACCTGAAAAGATAGGAAATGATATAACTATGCATATGTAGGCTGTAGAATACAAATTGCTCCCTATGCAACGTAAGAACGCAATTTAGTCTAGTTCTAACGGAAAAATAAACACAAGCGTTAACGACATAAGTGATGTAGCGATAGGATTTGATGTTATACGTTTTATGGATCGACAGTCACTGATTTCTATCCTGATTTCTATCTCTGTTTGTTCAAAACATACGTAGGACCACATCTTGAAGTGCATAATATCAATGCTGCCACGCTACTCAAAAGAGAAGCTGTCCTTCTGGAAAGAGAACAAAGAATGGAGACAAATGGTGTGATGGGTCCTCAAATTAGTCCATGTTATGAAAGATTGAAGAAAACGGGTTATTTTAAATACTGACTACTGTCATCTGGGGGGTAGCTCAAGTACTGGTGATAGATTTCAGATGACCAGAATAAACCAAACAAAGGTATTCTGTCAATAAGTATTGCAGACCAAGAAGGATAGCGCATCAGAGAGCAAAGACTCCAGTGAGCTCCCATTTCCCTTTACTTCGATTTTACCACTCCTGGAACTGTTTACTAACGGACGTGGCTACTGCACCGTAAGTGGTAAGCTTTAGGCGGAGGCTGGCCAGTCGATCAGCAGGACTGCCTCTAGACGGCCTAACCCTTTAAAACTCACACTCTAGTAATGGGTTTACACTTAAAATCGCTCTTTCACTGCTGTTCATTCTACCTTGTCTTATTCTTCTGACCACTCTAACAATTCATTCTCTTATATTACAAACTGAATATGTCGAAACGTGTATAAATTAGTTTTAACTTTTACTGTGTTTGTACGTTTTCGTTTTTCTAAGTAAATATGATCTACAATAACTATATCTGTCATCTGTCATCAATGATCTACCACGCCGTCTGAGCTGCCCGACTCTCCTGTACGCTGACGACGTAAAAATATGGAGGGCGATAAAGTGTCCGGAGGACTCAGATGGGCTACAGGAAGACCTAAACCTTCTGGAAGACTGGGCGGTGGCCAGTGGCATGACTTTCAACTTGAAAAAGTGCAAAGTAGTGAAGTTGCGCACCTGTAGACTGCAGAATGCAAGTTACACCCTGTGCAATGAAAGCTTGTCCTGCACAACGTCGGAACGCGACTTAGGTCTAGTTCTAACGGAAAAAATGGACACAAGCGTAAATTACACAGGGGATGTAGCGAGGGCATATGCGGTCATACACTTTACGCATAGACAGTTAGGTGCACTCACTCCTGAGCTCTTTCTAATGTTGTACAAAACATACGTCAGGCCACACCTTGAGGTGCATAATATTATTGCACCCCCAATGCTGAGAAGAGATGCCAACCTCTTGGAGAGAGTCCAACGACGGGCAACAAAAGGAGTGGTTGGTCTCCGAAACAAACCATATGATGAAAGGCTGAAGAAATTAGGCCTGTTCACACTTAGTTACCGTCGGCTTA